TGTCGAACGGAGATGCCGGCGCAGCGAAGTGAAGCTGGCAACTGCGTTTGTGCGTTTCGCGGAAGGGCGGGCCTGCTTGTTCACCCCCCCCCCCCACCTTACCGCACTGTCCGCCGCTGTCCGTTATTGAAGACACACTGTGAAAAATACTTGTAGAGTTACGGAAAAAATTTCCATGACAATTGTTGTACTTTTACGGGTCACGTTTGTAATTTAGAACAAGTTGCAAGGTGTACCAAATGATTTTGCTACATAATTAATCTGCTCGTACTTTACGGAATTTGTTTTGTGCTTAGTAGGGCACGTTGTTTCTGGTTTTGTGCATGTAGCGCCTGCAAAGCAGTAGGTAGGCATTCCCGCCATGCAGTCATGTGACATTGGTGGTGGTACGCGATACTGGAAGTGGTTCTGATTCTGGGGTTTGAAATGGCGGTGAAGTCTTCTCGCCAGACAGTTCACGGGAAAAAAAATGTCTCCGGATTCAATGAACCTTTTTTTTTTTTTTTGCATGTGGCATTTTACATTTACATTTGGTGTAAGAGTGCTTCAGAGCATCTTTCAATGGTGATGTTGTTGCACTTCACTATATTAGTGGATGATACCACTAATATAGTTTAAGATTAGCCTATTGAGGTCCAACCACCTAGATATAGTAGTGAGGTCCTCATTTATTTTCTTCATTATATTTTGTTCAGTGCTATCTTGATATATGAGTAGTATGTCATCAGCATACAACATCCATCTACCATGACGCTTCATATGTCATTTATAAATAAATAGATTTGGTGGTCGTATTGTGGTTTTAGCTGTATTTTTAGTTTGGTTACTCTATTAGATATCTTTTTATACTCAGTTAATACAACAGGAGAAGGGTTTTTAGCTTCGGTTTTGTTGTAGGCAATGCTTTTGGCATTGACCAGGTTTAAAAATTCTTGGTTGAACCATTTACACCAGTGATTTTGGTTGGAATGTTAAGGAAAAGTCATGAAAATTGCCAGGGTACAAATTGTGGGATCCCCGTGAAAATATTTTTTTCACAATCAACTCTTCTGTGATTCTTAGATTTTAATTGACAATTATTTTCCTAAACCCTTGCATTTAACAGATGCCACCTATGGGCTATGGGCTCATGGGCTCAGTTTTTTCTTAAGTTTTATGAAATGTAAATTTTCTGTTAACTTTTGTTGTGGTATTGTTACTTTGTTTCCAGAGAACTGAGATTGGTGTTGCTGAGGCGTGGATGAGTAGAGGACAGTACACCAGGATTGAATACGTGAAGAAACTTGGCGAACTTCGAAGACTTTTTCCTGGAAGTGGACGGAAAGCTGCTGTCATTGCCACACAGAAATTCATTACGCGCTCCTAAACGCTTCCTATTATTGGTGATTTAAATCAATTTCAGCTGAATGTTTTTATTTAATGTATTTTAGAGTCAAAATTAAAATAACACAGCAGTGTAAATGACTTATTCTAAACTCGAGAATACATACTTTTTTACAATAAGTTAACATAGTTTGTACTTACTACTACTCACGCAAATACCAGTGGCTTAAAGGACTTGTCCGGACATTATGCTTGAACGCAATAAGGAATCTTATTCTCCGCTGGGTTCGACCCAAACCGAGTTCAATCCCACGCCGATAGCGCGGACTATGCGCGAGCCCCGGAAGCACTGTTAAAACCTAAGAAAGAAATGCTTTGTAATTACAAACAAAATGCTTCGTAATTACGAAGGATTTTGATGCTTTGCAATACAAACGATTTTGTGTGTATAATACAAACGATTTCGTTTGTAGCTTGCGAAGCATTTCCTTTGTAGCTTGTCAGGACTTTCCGAAATGTTGTGTATCACAAACAAATTCGATCGTTTGTATCGCAAAGCATCCAAGTCCTTTGCAAGTTTACGACAAATTTGTTTGTAAGAATTTAACAGTGAGAAGTCGCCGCCCGGACGGCGTGAACGGGCCGTTCAAACCACCGCACAGTGCTCCTCACTGCAGATTAGCCAACTTTGCCATGCAAGAATCGTTAAGGAAAGTTTACAATACGTTGCCGTGGGTCACAAGGATCTGGAATATAACAAGATCTCACCTATTTCTTTTATGTCGTTACTGAACCAAACTATTTGCGAACGCTAAGGGAACCCTGTCGCACTGGTCCACACACTAAAATCTTATAACCTTTTTTGTTCACAGTTACTGAGTTCTGTAAACATGCTCGACTTACGCATTTTTCAATACGCCAGTATGCACAAATTTCTTCATACTGGCGCATTAAAAAATGCGTAAGCCGAGCATGTTTACAGAACTCAGTAACTATGAACAAAAAAGTTCATAAGATTTTAGTGTGCAATACTTTCAGTATTTCAGACAAAATAATGCCCGACTCACATCAAGCCTTCGATTAAAAGGTAGGAGACACATTGGCGAAGTGCTGTACGATTATAAAGCCGAGCCAACCGGTCGGCCCCTAACTCCACCTCATGTTTATAAACATTTAATAAATGTTTACTCTTTTACGCGCTCCCGGGGCCCGGAGCCGCAGCCTATCCCGATCCAAATTGCATAAACTTTTTGAGTTTCGTAGTGTCATTTGTGTACTTACTGCGGTTTATCTCAAACTTTCTACAACACTCAGCACTGTACCCTAGTTGCACACAACCGTCGTACGACTGTCGGACAACAGTTGTTAAAAGATACAAACTAGGTGCGATATACGAAATGAGAAAAATGATTCTCTTTTTTCCTCGAAAGGAAAATCTTTATCGGCCAGCTATCGTAATGGAAGCGAAAAACCAGTGTTGTGGATTCGTTCAGGAGTCGAGGTAAATAAACTTGGTTTAAATTTGATAGACCAGCGATAATCGTATGACTATGAAAAAGCCATCACTTTTGGATTTTTATTATCGTCACAATAATTGGACGATAGATAATAATAACACTATGTGCCACAGTTTTGTGTTACTAGGGTAGGCACTGAGTGGTGGTTTGAACGGCCGGTTCGCGCCGTCCGGGGCTCGCCCATAGGCCGCGCTCTGAGCACTGCGTTGCAACCCCTTACTGCACTATGATCACGCAGTTTTTGGCAAACAAAATTCAAAAAAAAATATAAAACAAAATAACGGTTTTATGACCAGGGTTATCGTGCAGCGATGATATCGATACGATTTTTGTATCGATATCGTAACGCGTTACTTTTTTGGCCAACGGTCTTTTGTAATGCTACACGATACACTGTAAAGAACATCTACTGTTGATGGGCTTCTTTCCAGGAGGCAAGTCTACGACTTCCCTAGTATTATTTTTGCCAAGAGGACTAAGCTCCTCCTCAACTGCACCAAGCCACAGTGCTTCATCCCTTCCGGAAAGATCCTCAAAAGTAGATGGTACTTCATTACAAAAATTAATAGCATTAAAAGCAATCTCACAATCTAGCTGTTCATCACAAAAATTAAAACAGACCTGCAACACATCCTGATTGAACTCTAACATTTTATCTGTATTTGTCTCATCTACACTATTTACAGTATGTGCCACCATAGCAAGAGTGACATAATCATGAAAATGTTTGTTTAGGTCTCAGCTTAACACGAGTACTCCTGCCCCTGGTCTCCCCGTCCTCACCTGCCCTCTCTTTAAACCGCTTTAAACTGCTCAAGCTCAATCTGCTCCCTCACCTCATGAATAAGTTCTTCAGCCGGTCCCTCAGTTTCTTCCTCCTCATCATCAAACTTTTCATAAGGCTTGTGCTGAGACTCCTCATGTCAGTCTCCTCCTCTGACTCCTCCTAAAGCTCCTCAGGCTCTTGAGCCACCTGGTGGGGCAAGGTCTCTCCATCCTTATGAATCCAACTTGGTCGCTCAAAACGGAATCTACTTCGATACCTCCTAACCATATACGCTTATCTGCCACGTATCCTCGACAAACCCGCTTAACTGTAGCCTAGTGCCGACAAACTCGCTTAACTGCGACCAGTGCTGGACAAACCCGCTTATCTGTGCAGGGAATCCTATGCAGTTAAGCGAGTTTGTCCAGCACTGGGCGCAGTTAAGCGAGTTTGTCGGCGCTAGGCTGCAGATAAGCGGGTTTCTCGGGGACACGTGGCAGATAAGCGGATATGGTTAGGAGGTATCGACTTTCATCAAATTTAACATCACAGGCAGTGATAACTCTTTGATCTTTAAATGACCACAGACGATAGCCATTATCACAATATCCTAGCATAATGGCCTTTTTCCCTTTAGCATCGAATTTACCATTAATTTGTCTTTGTGGTTTGCAGACAATGGCCACACAACCAAACACTCTAAGCTTTTGAAGGTTAGGTTTCCTGCCAAACCCGAGTTCAGCTGGAACTTTAACCAGAGTTCCGCTGGAACTTTAACCAGAGTTCAGCTGGAACTTTAACCAGAGTTCAGCTGGAACTTTTAACCAGAGTTCAGCTGGAACTTTATCTTTAAGGCAAGAGGTAGGAGATCTATTGATAATGTAAACAGCAGATGCTACTGCGTCAAACCAGAATTTATCAATTAAACAACAGCCCAAGAGCATAGCTCTGGCCCGATCAAGAATAGTTCTATTCATTCTTTCAGCAACACCAGTCTTTTGAGGGGTATGAGGAATATTGCACTCAAATTCAATCCCCTTTTCTTTGAAGAAATCTCTAAGTAAGTTATTATCATACTCTCTGCCGTTATCACAACGAAATTTACAAATTTTAATTTGAAACCTTGCCGTTACACTGGCTTCATACATAGAAATGTAACTATGGACCTCCTCCTGAGATTTAGTTTGCAAGTTAAAGACAACAGTGAAGTGAGTAAAATCATCAATAATAGTCATGAAATATTTAGTACCATTGTAAGTTAATTTTTGGACCACAGAGATCACTATGCACTCTTTCCAGAGGTCTCGTAGACTGAACTCTTGTGAGGCAAAGGAACAATTTTGGCTTCATGGCAAGTATCACAAAAACCTACTTCTCCTTAAACAATATTACTCATACCTTTGACCACATTTGGAAGTAATTTTAAATTGCCACCTCCAAGATGTCCTGTTCGTAGGTACCATAGTTTAGTATCCTGGGCAGCAAGGACGGTTTCACCCGATGGCAAGGGTTGACTCGGTTCGCTGGGCAGCTCCACTTGAACCCAAGGAAAACGCTTTAGTCACGGTGACGTCATGGTGACCTAATTTTAAAGTCACGGCGTGACGTCATGCGTGACGTCATACGAACAAATTCCGTGACCAATTCATGATGTCACAGTGAGGTCACAGTGACCTATTTGTGACCATGTACAAAAATAAATATTTAAGAGAAAATAGACGTCTATTAGATGTGTATTTGACATCTACTGCTAGACGGCAATTTGTCTAATAGACGTCTTCGGTAGACGTCTATTAGACCGTCTTGATTGTCTCTATCGAGGCATCTTTTAGACGTCTATCAGTAGACGTCTATATTTAGATGCCTTTTAGATGACATCTAGATATTTATATTTTTTTTATAATCGTCTCGGCACGTCTAAACGTCGTCTATCGCTAGACGTCTAAGGTTGTTGATGGGATGGATGAGAGTAAGATCATCTCGACACGTCTACACTGTGTCTAGGGCTAGACGTCTAAGGTCGTAGATAGAGAAGATAGGGAATAGATCATCTAGACACGTCTACACTTTGTCTAGCGCTAGACGTCTAAGTACATAGACAGGTTAGACAATAAATAAATCGTCTCGGGTCGTCTGTCTCTCGACGAAACCTAGTCGTAGATGTGAAAAGATGTCTACTAGACCTCTTTTGGTCATCTACGTCTAGTCGTCTAAAAACTTACACCAGCTAGACGGGCATTAGACGATCTATCGAAATCTATAGACGTCTATTTTCTCTTAGGGATAAAATAGGGTTTATATGAGGGTAAGGGTTATTGAAACATGACCACAGATAAGTAACAAAATTAAGGTTTTATTAAATAAACAATGTATCAGTATCAGTCAAACAAAAAACATACATCTATTGTAACAATAGGAAGAAATAGTAAGAATGAGAAAATTTAATCTACAAAGTGAATGAAATATTTGAATAAACAAATAGTTTCATGACTTGAAGGAACAATAGTGACAAACTAGGCTCAACACTACTATAGAAAACTGCAATAACTAAGTACAAGAATAGTGTGAAAGATATTTAAAAATAGCAGGGCATGTTTCACGTATATTGTGAAATGCAACTAACTATTAAAGAATTTGAAACAAAAAGAAAGTACCATAGATAAAAAGAAACCAAAATGCAATGTGAATGAGCATAAGAATTACAAACTACACGGCAAAAAAATAGAGTCTGATACGGAACGATCTACAGCGTTACTGTAGATGCCGCTCTGAGCCACTGCACCTAGGGTACAGAACGCGGAGTACAGTGTTGCTGTAGCACCGGAAAGCCCAGGTTTTACACGGTACAGTGTACGAAGACGGCTCCACTGTAGACAGTTTTGTTCGCTTTTGCCTGTACAGT